GTGAAGAGCAACATCCACGTCGACCTTGGATGCCCAAAATGGATTTCCCCGTTTTGATGGTAGTGATGTACGCATATGGCTCGACGGATGTGAAGCTTATTTTTCCTTGTACGAGATTCCTGAATTCTTTAGAGTTACTTCTGCTACATTGCACATGTGTGGCGATGCGGCCAATTGGTTTCATGCGTATAAACTGACTCATCAGTGGCCTAATTGGCATGAGTTTCGCTCTGCTGTGATGTCAGAGTTCGATGTCAACGTGCACAGACACAAAATGAAAGAGTTGATGATGCTAAAACAGTCAGGGTCGGTGGCAGAGTACAAAAGAGAGTTTATGCAATTAACTTACCAGTTGCTGCTGTATGAAAACACAGTTAGCGACACATTCCTGGTAACTAGGTTTGTGTTGGGTTTGAGAGAGGAGTTGAGAGCTGCGGTGGAGATGCAAATACCAGCGACAGTCAGCGAAGCTGCGATGTATGCTGGTATTCAGGAAGAGGTCTTGGCTAGAAGCAAACATGTTAAATGGACAAACCACAAAGCAATGGGTTCAAAAACTGATTACAAGGCTCAACCAGTGGCTGCAGGAGATCTATGGAAAGCTAGACAGCTGAAAGAGTTTCGAAGGGCTAATGGTCTTTGTTATAGTTGTGGAGAAAAATACACACCAACTCACGTGTGTGCTAAGCACCCGGTTCAGGCAACTGTGCAAGCATTGCAATGTGAAGGCCCTACTATTCTATCTGATGAAGTGCTTGATGCAGTTGAGGAACAGGAAGCAGCCTTACAAGAGATGCAGCTGTCGGTAAATGCCATTTCAGGGGCAGATCATCCAAGGACAATCAGGTTGCGAGCCTTAATTGGGAATCAAGTTGTGCTAATTCTGTTGGATTCGGGCAGCACTCACAGCTTTATAGATATTGAGATGTTAGCCCGAGCGCAGCTCACACACCAAGAGTTGAAAACACCACTGCAGGTGAAGGTGGCAAATGGGGAAATGCTACAGTGCAAATCAGTGGTGCCTGAGCTGCACTGGTGGGTTCAGGGCCACACTTTTAGCTACCCAATGAAAGTACTAGACCTAGGAGGATATGATATGATCCTGGGGATGGATTGGCTAGAGCAATGGGGTGAAATGACTTGTCAGTGGAAAGAAAAATGGGTGAGGTTCCAATTTCAAGACCAGCTCATAACCTTGCAAGGCTTGTTACCTCCAGCCAACCCGGTGTTACAAGAAGTATCAGTTGAGCAAGCCATGAGATGGCACACTGGTAATGACATTTGGGCAACTGCTTTGATCACTCCTGTGATGTCAAAAACACCAAATGAAATTCCGAATGAGGTGCAAGTAGTGATACAAGAATTTGCGGATGTGTTCCAAGATCCTAAAACATTACCCCCTTCAAGACCCCTAGATCATGCCATACACCTGGTACCTGGGGCTCTTCCAGTGAATGTAAGACCTTACAGATACTCTCCTCTTCAAAAGGATGAAATTGAAAAACAAGTGGCTGAGATGCTAGAAGCGGGATTGATAACCCCTAGTGTCAGTCCTTTTGCCTCTCCCGTGTTACTGGTAAAAAAGAAAGATGGCACATGGAGATTCTGTGTGGATTACAGGAAACTTAACTCCATCACGGTGAAGAGTAGGTTTCCTATGCCTGTGGTGGATGAACTATTAGATGAGTTGGCAGGCACTAAGTGGTTTACAAAGTTGGATCTAAGAGCAGGTTACCACCATATCAGAATGGTACCTGAAGATGAACATAAAACAGCTTTTCGAACCCATAATGGTCATTATCAGTTCAAGGTCATGGCGTTTGGACTTGCTACAGCTCCGGGTACTTTCCAGGGTAACATGAATTTGTACTTGTCCAAAGGGAACAAAAAGTATGTCATATCCTTCATGGATGACATCTTGGTGTTCAACCAGTCTCTAGTGGACCATATAGCTCACCTGAGAGAAGTGCTGCAAATTTTGAGATAAAACCAGTTTTATGCTAAGATGAGCAAATTCTCTTTTGCTCAACAACAATTAGAGTATTTGGGTCATATTATCTCAGATAAAGGGGTGGCTACAGATCCTGAGAAAACTAAAGTGATGTTGGAGTGGCCTGTTCCTCAAAATGTCACAGAACTCCGAGGATTTCTGGGTCTCACCGGGTATTACAGGAAGTTTGTGCAGCATTATGGTATTATTGCAAAACCTCTGACACAGCTACTGCAGAAAAATAATTTTGCATGGTCCGAGGCGGCTCAACAGACTTTTGATAAACTGAAAGTTGCTATGTCCACTACTCCTGTGTTGTTGTTACCCGACTTTGATAAGCAGTTCACCATTGAAACAGATGCATGCTCAACGGGTATTGGAGCTGTTCTTTTGTAACAAGGACATCCTGTAGCATTCTACAGTAAAGCACTGGGCATTAAGAATCAGCAACTGTCCATATATGAGAAAGAGTTTTTAGCTATCATGATGGCAGTGGAGAAATGGAGAGCTTACTTGCAAAGAGGACCTTTTATTATCAAAACCGATCATCAGAGTTTGTGTCAGTTAGGGGATCAAATTCTCACATTTGATCTTCAACGAAAAGCCATGACTAAACTGGTGGGACTTCAGTTTCAGTTTCAGTATAAAAAGGGGACTGAAAACACTGTGGCTGATGCATTATCAAGAGTAGGACATCTGCTTGCGGTGTCTGCAACTTCTCAGAGTCAACCGGTGTGGATGCAAGAGGTGGTGAATTCTTATGAAGTGGACCCTAAAGCACAACAATTAATACAACAGCTAGCAGTTTCTACTGAGAATGCAGAAGGATTTTCCTTGCAGCAAGGGATAATCAAATTTCAAGATAGAATTTGGATTGGAGCAAATTCAGCTCTAAAAACCAAATTAATATCTGCATTTCATGATAGTGCAATGGGAGGCCATTCGGGGATACTTGCTACTTACCAGAGAGTTGACAAACTGTTTGCTTGGTCAGGATTGAAGAATGATGTGACTGAATATGTGCAACAATGTGACATTTGTCAGAAAGCAAAACATGAACATTGCAAGTACCCTGGCCTTCTGAATCCTTTGCCTATTCCTGAGGGCCCTTGGCAGCAAGTGACTATGGATTTCATCGAAGGACTCCCTAAATCTGCTGGGTACAATGTCATATTGGTGGTGGTTGATAGACATACTAAATATGCCCATTTCATTCCTCTTAAACATCCCTTTTCTGCTCCTGTTGTGGCCAAAGCATTTTTGGAGGCAGTGGTTAAATTGCATGGACCTCCACTTACTATAGTATCTGACAGAGACAAGGTTTTCACAAGCAACTTTTGGAGGGATCTGTTCAAACTATGGGACACCAAGTTGCACATGTCTACTGCATACCACCCACAAACTGATGGTCAGAGTGAGAGAGTCAATCAGTGCTTGGAAATGTATTTGAGGTGTGCAGTACATGATACTCCAACCAAATGGCAGACTTGGCTTCCTCTTGCTGAATTCTGGTACAATACCAATTTCCATTCTTCCTTGGGATGCTCTCCTTTCAAGGCCTTGTATGGGTATAATCCTAGCTATGGATTCTTTTCTTCTCTGCTCCAATCTGACAACATTGAAGTTGAACAGTGGCTCAGGGAACACCAGGCTCACTCAGCAGTCTTAAAAGCTAACTTAATGAGAGCTCAAGCAAAAATAAAACACTATGCAGATGCACGCAGATCGGACAGATCATTTTCAGTGGGTGACTATGTGTATCTGAAGCTCTAGCCATATGCTCAACATTCTGTGGTCAACAGGCCGTGTCCTAAGCTGGCATATAAGTACTATGGGCCATTTGAGGTCTTGGAATGCATTGGACCAGCAACGTACAAGTTATTGCTGCCTGAGGGTGCACAAATCCACCCAGTGTTTCATGTATCTCAGCTAAAGGAACACAAACCTGCTCATACTCCAGTGTTTTCTGAACTCCCAACTCAAGTGGATCTGTCTGCAGGTAATTTGGTTCCTGTGCAAGTCCTCGAACGGAAGATGGTGAAGAAAGGCAACGCCGCGCACGTGCAAATCCGGGTCCAGTGGTCGGGTCTTCCGGAAGCAGCAGCTACGTGGGAAGATTATGAAGTCCTGAAGAAACGCTATCCGGCGGCACCAGCATGGGGGCATGCTGGATTTCCAGCGGGCGGCACTGTAAGCGACCAAGAGCATATGGGTGGCGAGGCAAGGGAGTAAAGGGGCACGAGTGAATAGAGGCTGTTGGGCTTTGGGGCCTTGTAATAGGAATAGGGCTAGTGGGCCGTTGGCCTCTCTAGTTGGACTACGTACTTATAGCACGACTCGTTCTTCAGATCGGCAGCGAAGTTGTAATCGATAGCTCGCTCATTTTATCCCCTTTCCCAACTCTTTCTTCCACCTCAAGACAAGCCCACTCTGTAATTGAATTCCCCTACAGAGTGAATTATCCTGCGATTTGTGATCCTTATCAAGTAAGGTTATCACCAAAGTTTTAAATAGCGCGCTAAGCATCTTAGCGTCGGACCTCTTTCAAATGCTATAGCGTGCTATAGCGGAGCTATAGCGCGCTATTTAAAATGTTTGTTCATTTGTTTGGACCAAAGTCTCTTAGCGCAAGACCTTTTGTAAACGCTATAGCGTGCTATAGCGGAGCTATAGCGGGCTATTTGAAACAGTGGTTATCACAGGCCTCGACCCTTCTGCGTTCGAATTCCCGGAGCCCTAGGGTTTCGCTCCCGGCTAGAGGCGGGCGCCTGATTCATTCCTCTTCGTCGAGTCGATTTTTCTGATTAGCTTTCTGAGAGGATCTGAGGTTATGAGCTCAGGTGCAGCACTACTGCACACAGTATTTCTCTGGTAATGTGTATCCTTCTGAAAGTTCTTTTGCAGTCGTCCGATTCCACCTTCCAGTCAGTTTAGGAGATAAGGAGAGACCCTTGTCCTGTAGATCATATATACACACAATTGTGATTTCAAGCATCCCCTGCACAAATCGATGGAGAAAGCTTCTGTTTCGGATGATTCTCCAGATTCGAGCACCGATTGTGATTGGTCCCAGCTTCAGGCTGACCTGCTCCTCCAGATCTTTGGCACTCTCGAGATCCCTGATCTCTTCAGCTCAGGTGCGGTCTGTCGATCATGGCACCTCATTTATCTGGAGGCCCGCCGTCTCCAGCGGTGCTCGCCGAACCAGAGCCCCTGCCTTGTTTACTCGTCCGGCGACCGTGACGCTAACATGGTCACCCTGCATAACATGTCCACCAACAAGCTTTACCACGTCACTCTATCGGAGCCTGCCTTCCGCACACTCCACGTCATGGGATCCTCCTACGGCTGGCTCATCACCGCCGATGAGCGGTCGAATCTCATACTAGTCAACCCTGTAACCAGAGCTCAGATAGCTATGCCTCCCCCTGAAACCATGAACAATGTTAGACTGCGGTACACTGAAGACGGTGTGCTAGACGGATATGATGTTCTTTACATGGATCTGTTCTCTCGGGATTTTGACACTGAAATGGACCCGTACCATCTTACACTTGAAGAAGCCCGCTTCTACCTCTATGCGAGGGTCGCTCTTTCTTGTGATCCCTCCCACGGAAACTGCACAGTTCTCGTAGTACAATTGCCAAAGGATCAACTCTCTTATACTAGGGTTGGGGACACCAAATGGACTTGGATTGATGCAAATCCAAATTGTTGGGCTTATCAAGATATACTTTATAACAACAATGATGGTTTGTTTTATGGTGTTCGTGGTAGGGGTGAGGTTGATTCTATTGATCTTAATGAACCTTCCGCTGAAGTGAAAGTTATTTTGAAGCCGATCATATCCTATCAAGCGCATAGTAGATATATTGTTCAAGCCCCATGGGGAGATTTTTTCCAGATATGGAGGCATGATAAATATAATAAGGAGAATGGAATAACAGAGCGGGTTGCAGACAAGTTTTATGTGTACAAGATTGATTTTGCTAAACAAAAGCTCGTTGAAACAAATAACATCCAAGATCTCGCAATTTTCATTGGTTACAACAGCTCATTTATGCTTCCAGTGAAAGACTTTTCTACGTTGATTCCCAACAGCATCTACCACACGGATGACTTGCTGGATTATATCTTCTGTCAAAGATCTAGTCTTAGGCAGGCTGTTGTCTTTAATATGAAAGATAGCAGTTTCATTGAGTTATCGCCCCCTAGTTCAGATTCAAGATTGAACTGGCCACCCTCGGTTTGGATTCAACCATCACTTACTCGAGGTTAGTGAAACTTACTAATGCAGAATATATATGTTATTTTATCTGCTTTATACTTTTTTTGGGGTATCTATCCATGTTCTGTAGTTGGCCAGTTAGACCTTTGTAATCGGCACAAGTGATCATGTCTCCTCCATCTTGTGGAGCCATGCACTTAGGCTGCATGATCAGTATTAAGTAATGGCTACAATTTTTTTCAATATTTCTACTTGTAAATAGATGTCTCGGATGTAAACCTATCCATTCAGTAGGATAAGATTGCTATGGTTGTTTTCAAGGAACACACTTAACTGAGTACTCTCTTGCTTAAAGTGTATTAATACAGAAAGTTTGGAACTTGTAGTGTTGCTAAAACGCGCTTAAATGCTTATCCTTTTATGCTTATTATGGCTGCCAAACCAAATATTTATACTTAAATCTAGATCGAAATCATTTTGTTGCTCTTGGATGGTTCGGTACATGATACATCAACAATTAAGGAGGCCTACGAATAAATATTAAAGTGCCTGAACTAGCTTTGTTAATATCCTACTCCGAATTGTTTTATTCGTCCGTCCCTAAATCTTTATGTCAAATTATTATCTCTTTCCTAAGGTACCAGCATACTGTTTCGAGTGATCCTAAAACAAATTCTGAACTTTCTTTAGGCGTTACAATATCACTTTTCCAATTTATTATCATCACTGTTTATGATGATTAGTACTCCCTCCGTTCCAAAATAGATGACCCAACTTTGTACTAATTTTGTACTAAAGTTAGTAAAAAGTTGAGTCATCTATTTAGGAGTATTACTTATCATGTAAGGTTAGGTCATGAATTTGTCCACGTGCCAGAACCATGACTAGGTTTCGAGATCTTATGGGTTTCAACTCTTGCCTACCCCTACTTGTCTGGGACTAAAACGCTTTGTTGTTGTTGTATTCAATACATGTATGATCAACTAGCTGGTACGAAGTAATGTAAATAAATCCAATCATGTATTCATGTAGTACATCCATCTCCTATTCTCCATACAAATCTGATGATCACTGTAGAAATATAATCATATTGCGTGAACCCCCAAAACAAGAGTAGCAATTGTCTCGGACCATTAGCTCAAAGTCAACTCTAAATTTTGTAGACATAATCATTTATTCATTGTGAAGGGGAGCCTTGGCGCAGTGGTAAAGCTGCTGCCTTGTGACCATGAGGTCATGGGTTCAAGTCCTGGAAACAGCCTCTTACAGAAATGTAGGGAAAGGCTGCGTACTATAGACCCAAAGTGGTCGGACCCTTCCCTGGACCCTGCGCAAGCGGGAGCTACATGCACCAGGTTGCCCAATCATTTATTCATTGTAAATAAGTAATAATCATGTCTTTTGTGCTGGCAAAATATTGTACTACTAAATAGTTGTAACACGATGGTCGGAGCTAGTCATCATAACCGATGCTTTATTTTTTGTTTTTCAAATTATTCTTGCAAATATCTGGTGAATGGAACACTGTTTATCAAGGCCTTCAAATATAGAGGCCCTACTTGGAATTAGCTGCCTAAATGGCACATAACTGACTCGTGCCTATTTTAAGGTCCTGCCAGTAATAAACCAGCCTGTTTTCAAGGTCCTGTTCAGCAATTATGAAATTTCATCTTGCTACTTTTTAAAATGAACCAACATGTTATTCAAAAGAATTATTAGCTTTGCATATATATGCCTAGATGCTGATACTCACTATGTGTTGTCTCTGCTTAAGGGGCCTTAAAAGTGCTTGAGTGTCCAGGCAAGTTTGGAACTTATTGTGCACTTTGTTCAGGAGATATTACAGGCCAGTTAAGAAGACATGTCAATGGGAAAATATTCAGTCGTAGCTTTCTACCATTTTACTTTGAAATATAATGGATCTTGTTCTGAATTTCTGGTGAGTCATTCCTACTGGTTGTTGAGACAGGCACCAGAGCATTCACATCTGAAGGTTCACATCTTGGAAAACAAACTTATCTTGAGAAGCTGCCTCCCTTGGTCATCACAACAGTTCAAATAACAAGATTAGGGCCTCTGCTACGTCTATTGTTTTAGTTGGTTCAGAGGAACTTGGGATATCAATAACTGTTCGTGAGGCAAGTGTAAGGAAACTTTCCTTTTGGCGTACCACCCATGCCGATGAATATCTTTAGTTTATGCAGAGTTGCAGACAGTTTGACCACTACTAGTCCACTGTTTCGGCAAAGGTTTATTGCTGATGGAATTGAAACTTTGGTCAGGATAGGTGTCCCAGTTAACGCTGTTATCTCCTTGTGGTGGAACTGTCTGTTCTTTGGTCGGTACCTGACCTTGTTCATTATAGGTGCACTTGTTGGAGAAAATTTTGCCGTCAAGCAAATCTTTCCCTTCCTTAGGATTCTTGCTATATTCTCATGTATCGATTCCTCCAAGATGAGTAATCCAGTGTCTGCAACATAGTTGGAACTTCTTTGCTCTAATTGATGATGGCTTTTCTGCTTTTGAAAGCCTTGTACTCATCAATTCTTCCAGCAAGTATTTTGGCAGGAAAAACTATCTTTTCGGAATAATGGATATAGTCATTGGTGAAAAATAGATAGATTGGGGATTCTGTTGGAGATGGACTATCAACCGTTACGGCGTTTCCAAATGCGTCGGAGGGTGGGTTAGAGCATCTCCAGCCGTTCACCCCCCCCCCCCAAGGGGCTTGAAATATCGCCGCCTGGGGGCGATCGGATTCCCAGCCGCCGCCCCTAGGTCACCCCCAAGCGCCGATTTCGGCCCACTTTCGGCGCAGATTGGCCCGCTATCGGCGCAAATTGACCAATTTCGACCCATATTCGCCGTGCTTCGGCGCAAATTCAACAGAAACTATTTTTTTATCACATAATTCATCACAGAAAATCAATAGAAATCAAATAGTTCAACACAAATTATATAGTTCAACAACTAGTTCAACAAATAAAAACTCATATTTCATCACACTCGAGCTAGGCGTTGCCCTTGAGCCTCTATAGGTGCTCCACCAGATCCTGTTGCAGTTGTTGATGCACCAGTGGGTCTCGGATCTCCTGACGCATATTGAGGAAGGCCGTCTAGGTTGCCTATAGGTGGTGATCAACTTGGGCAAGAGGACCTTGCCTGTAATATGGTTCAGTGTCAAACACTGGCTCTTCCTACTCGCTCTCAATGATCATGTTGTGCAAGATGACACAACAAGTCATGATCTCCCACATTTGATCTTTCGACCAGGTCTAAGCGGGGTACCGGACAATAGCAAATCGAGATTGGAGCACACCAAATGCCCGCTCGACATCCTTCCTGCAAGCCTCCTGAACCTTTGCAAAATGGGAGTTCTTGCTTCCTGACACTTGTCGTGCACTTCTGGGGTGAGGTGAATCCAAGTGCACCGGTGCAATCCTTCTTGCATTTGAAGTAGCTGCTGAACTCCCGAATGGAATTCACAATCCTGAGGAAGAGCTTTCGGCTCATCCGATAACGGCGCCGAAATACTTTGTCGCCGTGCAGTGGAGCATCGGCGAAGTAGTCGGAGTAGAGCAAGCAATAGCCTTCCAGTCGATGTCGGTTCTTTGCCTTCAGTCGGCCTGGTGCCGAGCCACCTCGCCGCGGCTTTGCATTGCTCGCGAGCAGGCAGGCCAGGGCGGCGAGGACCTTGAGATGCTCTTCGTCCTGGACGTCGGCATCGGCTTCCTCCTCCAGCAGCGCCGCGAGCGAGTCCATAGCCGAGCAGACAAATCGCCGAACACCTGGCGGGCGTGGTTGGTGCACAGCCGCCGGTATCCCGCCCTGCGTGGCCGGAGCGCCGGAAAACTCGCCCAGATAGGG